CCCTAAACCCAACCTCCTAAACCTAACCTCCTAAACCTAAAACCGCAACGGTACCCTTGGGCACCACTGCGACAGCGACGCGAAGGAGACCGAAGCACCCGGCTCGGTGTCGTAGGCTTCTGCCAGCCGACTCCTCAACTCCCTAGGATTTAGAATGGTTTAGGATTTAGGATTTAGGGTTTAGGGTTTAGGGTTTAGGATTTAGGATTTAGGATTTGGGATTTAGGGTTTAGGGTTTAGGGTTTAGGGTTTAGGGTTTTCGGTTCAGGAATTAGGATTTAGAGCTCAGGCTTTAAAGTGTCTGGGGCTCGTGTTATAGCAATGAGGCCTGAATACATGACTGAATATGTAAGGGGAATAGTATAGTATATAAACTCACATAGGAATTACCAGAGGCGATGATTAGTACTTCCTCAAACACCTGTTCAGGTTTTCGGATTCTCGGGCAGGACATTCCCAGAAGCAGACACTTGGAGCGATGGCCTAGCCAAATCTGCACCTGCCATGTGTTCATGTTGCCGTGAGATCATTTTCGCAACTATCAAATCCGACACCCCGAACACTAAACTCACAAAACCCTGAACCCTGAACTCCGCAGAACGGCCCAACCCCTGCCACATCCCATAGGCCTTAAACTCCCAGAGACCTCTGAAGCACTCAAGCGGGAAGCCACAACCAAGAAACTGAAAAAGCCTGTGCAAAGAGGGGTCGTTCAGCTCAAAATAGAGGCCTTTATACTGAGAATCGGGTTTTGGGGTATACCCTAAACCCTAAACCCTAAACCCTAAACCCTAAACCCTAAACCCTATACTATAATGATAATAAGGAGCGCCCAAAGCCCTCTAATTATTAAGGCCCCTACATCAAATCTGAAGGGCTCCCAGGGTTTTGCGGCTTCGGACATGAGCGTGTTAGGGTTTAGGGTTTAGGGTTTAGGGTTTAGGGTTTAGGGCTTAGGGTTTAGGGCTTAGGGTTTAGGATTTAGGGTTTAGGGCTTAGGGTTTAGGGAGGATTTGTGGTTGCAAGGGCTGTCCTCTGCGATGCTTTGGCCCTGGCGATCCAGTGGAAGACCTGAGACATCGCCGTGTGGGATCTCAAGGTGTAGTATAGGGGCCTTAATAATTTCAATAGGTCTTTGGGGCCCATTATACCATAACTATAATAAGGAGCCCCCAAAATAGTATAGGTAATTATTTCGGCGCTTATACTATGGGCTTTGGACTTTCGGTTCAGGGTTTAATCGGGACCCTGAACCCTAAACTCGAAACCAAAAAGCCCTAAACCCAGGGTTTAGGGTTTGGGGTTCTACGGACAGGAGAGTCTACTGGACACCCTGGTCCGGCGAACCTATGAACCCCCAAACACCCTAAACCCTAAACCCTAAACCCTAAACCCTAAACCCTGAACCTTAAACCCTAAACCCTAAACCCTGAACCGTTAACACACCCTCAACTCGCTGAAATCCTAAACCACCCCGCGACGACAGCCCCCTAAGGCGCAGGGCCAAAAGGGGGTTCGAAGTCCTAGGAGTCTCAGGATATGCTTTGCATAAGAGCTCCTTCACAGCTTTGCTCTACACCCTAAACCCTAAACCCTAAACGGCTTAGGACAGGTCCTGGTTTCGGGTTTCGGGTTTAGGGTTTAGGGTTTTGGGGTTTCGGGTTTAGGGTTTAGGGTTTAGGGTTTCAGGGTTTTCCAGGGCGATAGTAATTCATACACAGCCTTGATCAGTAGACTAGGGTTTTGCGGTATACTATACTATAATCATAATAAGGAACCCCCAAAATTGTACGGGTAGTTCTTTAGGCCCCTACATTAAGCTTCATGTCATGGCAAAGTTTCATTCAGAGACTTCAACTAAACTAGTTCATGGTTGGGGTAGTATTAAAAATTTTGATTTATGTTCCTTGTTGGGTTTAAGTACTCTTAGAAATGTAAAATGTTACTCAACTATGACAAAGTAAACCTGACGGTCCCAAGAGGATGGAAATCTGACCGTTGCTCAGGAGGACTCTCGCCTGCGACTCGCGACGGTGCCGAACCATAAACCCTGAAAGCGTTTAGGGTTTAGGGTTTAGGGTTTAGGGTTCAGGGTTTAGGGTTTAGGGATAACGCATTGTCTTCCTAAATCCTACACTCTAACACATTAAATCTTTAAGCAGCCCTAACCTCTACCCTCCTAGACCCACACGTCGTACACCCCCACTATCCTCCTAAACTTGGCAAAGCGCCGACACGAGCAACACAAGAAGCAGATAATTCTCATGCAAGAAAACTAGCCCTCAAAACGACACTCGAAAATAGATGACCAGAACCTAAACCCTAGACCCTAGACCCTAAACCCTAAACCCTAAACTCTACACCCTAAACCCTAAACCCTAAACCCTAAACCCTACAGCGCCTTCTCCCGGAGCTGGAGCGCTTTCAAAGCGTAGAGGTTCGTCGGGCGGGACACCTGCAAGTTGGCCGAAGTTGGGCCGGCCTCCTCGTGGGTTCTATGTGAACGGTTTAGGGTTTAGGGTTTAGGGTTTAGGGGTTAGGATTTAGGGCTTAGGGTTTAGGGTTTAGGATTTAGGGTTTAGGGTTTAGGGTTTAGGGGTAGGAGGGGTTCGAGAAGGGGATCGCTCTGGGGCTTCTAGGACGGCTCATGGCTGAGGGTCTAGGGTTTAGGGTTTAGGGTTTAGGGTGTAGGGTTTAGGGTTTAGGGTTCAGGGTTTAGGGTGTAGGGTTTAGGGTTTAGGGTTTAGTGTTCAGGGCTTGCCGGCTCCATTAAAATTGCAAAGTGGGGTTACTGTCAGTGAGGGCTACTTTATGGGTGCTAGGGCTTGTAGACGATGGGGTTTCTTCAATAAGGTTGATAAGAGTCTAGGGTCGACGGCTTAGGTAGGGGTTGGGGTTTTAGGGGCTTAGAGCTTTGGGTTTAGGGTTTCGGGTTTAGGGTTTAGGGTTTAGGGTTTAGGGTTTAGGGTTCAGGCTGGCTTCAGGGGCATAGTGGATGAGTTATCGACACCCGGATGGCCTGGAGGCCAAACTGCACGTCGTCGTTGAAGGCGCTGGGCATGACGAAGATGCTCTCCTGAGGTTCCCTAACTTGACAAGCCTTGGACATCCTCAAACCCTAAACCCTAAACCTTGAAGCTTAAACCCTAAGCCCTAAACCCTGAACCCTAAACCCTTAAAGCCCTAAGAATCACAAATTTTTGAATGCGAAACTCCCACCCGGTGGAGATCTTGCGGTGGCGCTTGGCCACGACCTCTTTAGTGCAGGCTCGGGGCATGAGGGCCAACGCTGAGGAGAGTTTGGGGTTGTAGGCTTTACGTTGAACGGTTGAGAGTTTAGAGTTTAGGGTTT